TTGGGGGCTCTATTGGCAAAAGGCTGGGGATAGAGTAAGGATTCAGGATTGAAGTCTCTATTGTTTGAAGGCAAAGTCTCTATTGTTTCTATTGGGGTCCTCTCCCTAGAAACTCAGCCAAGTCCTTCATGGCTGAGTTCAGGCCCCTGCCTGGGGCTCTGTGCCTGGAAATAGTTTTGACAAAAATAGGCAGTGGAGCTGTAAGGAGATGGCAGGTTCCCAGACACCAGCTGCCACAGCTCACATGCCCCCCAGATGGGGCGAAAGATGCAGCATAACTTGGCAAATGGATCCTGGAACAGACAGCAAAGCAGATTGGGTTTGCTGTGTATGCGTGTCCATCATTTCAAGATTCTTCTTAAAAAGACCCTTTAGATCAGTTGTGTCAAATTCAAATAGAAATAGAGGCCACTAATTCATACATAAGGATCCCTAAGGGTTGCATACTGACTTAGCTTTAAAATATAACATTATCTATTTTTATTGATTGTTAAATATTTTTCTGTTACATTTTAATCTGGTTCCTGCCATAGTCAGGAGTATTAGGACCATATGTTTGACATCTTGTCTTTAGACAACTCTGTGCCCTGGTCCACAGAACACAGTTTTAAAAATCACAGAATCATTGAATCCCAGCATCTCAGAATAGGAAAGGACCTCATGACCCACATCCAGTCAGTTGACAAGTCTTTTTGTCTCTATCTCCACAATATCTCACATCTCCTTCTCTACACTCACATGGCTGCCATTCTATTTCATGCCTTCATTATTTCTTGCCTAGATCAGTGGTCCCCAAAGTGAGGGCCTCAGTTCCCTGGGGTGCCCATGGCACACCTTCCCCCCCCCCAAAAAAAACAATTGTACAAGTCTGAAATGGAGAAGACATTTATGTGATATAATCTATGTGGAAAAGCTTGGCATGTACATTTAACCAATCAGATGATAGGAAGATAAGTCACATCCTACCTTCCATAAAAAACCAAATATGGGACCAGTGTTCAATATAATCAAAATTCTTGTTGGGTTGAATTGGATTCTTTATCTAATCTAAACAGGGAAGCATATATCAGGATTATAATCTCCCTCATCCTGGAACCTATGATTCCATTAACACAGCCTAAAATCTTACTAGCTTTTTAGGCTGTTTTATAATAACACTCAAAATGAATTTGTAAGTTCACTAAAACCCTCAGTTCTTTTCACATAAACTTAACCATGTAGACCTCTAGATCCTGTACTTAGCTGTTTGAATCTTAGTATAGGACTTTACATTTTATCCCTACAAAATTTCATCTAACTAGTTGCTGCAGGTGGGTTGGGCCAGATTTGGTCATTGGGTTGTAGTTTGCTAACCCCCTCTCCCTCCCCCTTGCTCCAGTCCATTGAAATTATTCTGGATCCAGATTCTACCATCCAATCTGTCAGTTATCCTTCTCAGCTTCATGTCACTGAGAATTTGATAGGCATGCCTCTTATACCTTCATCCAGGTCATTTATAACAATGTCAAATAACCAAGGTCAATGAAAGAGCCCTATTGGGTTCCACTGGAGCCTTCCTCCAGGATGACATCAGCTTATTCATCACTGAATCTAGCCATTCGACCAGATCTGAGTTCATCTAACTACTCAAATCTAGCCCATGTCCTAGAATCATAGATGAAGAGAGGTAAGGAGCATCTGGGGCCATCTGGACCAACCCCTCATTTTACAGATAAAGAAAGTGAGATAAAGGGAGGTTAAATACCTTACCTTGTCCACAGGGATATCAAGAGAGATGCTGTCAAATCCCTTGCTGAAATCTTAGTATACTACTGTATCTCTACTTGATCTGGTAACCTTGGTAACGAAAAGAAAATGAAGATAGTCTGACATGACTGTTTTGTGATGAACTCCTACCTTGCTAAGCACTCACAAACCATCTTTGTTAGAATGAATTCTAGAATGTTGTCAGAAATAAAAATAAAGAATACTGGCCTACTGTTTGAATAATGTATCTTCATATAATTAGAATGAGAAATGTGGTGGGCAGCAACTACACTGCATTGATATCCATAAAATGTTAAAAGACTTGGAGGAGGACCTCCTATCCTATCACATTGGCCAAATCCTCTCAGAGCATTTAGAAGAGGAAATGGACAAAGGTGAAATCAGAAGATAAGCATGGGCAGTTTACAATCTGCACCACTGGAGAGAATGCCCTCATCAGTGAAGATACAGATCTATTGAAGTAAGTAATTAAGTGTAGTACCATTCAGAGCATGCTGAACTTGGAGTCTGGAAATCTGGGTTCAAATGCTGACTCAAATATCAATTCCTGCAAATGAGAAAGTGCCATAACCTCTCCAATGGTCATCTGTGAAATGTGGATGATAAAACTTATACCACCTAATTCAGAGGTTGTATTGTGAGGAAAGCAATTTACAAACAAGAAGGATGTAAGTTATTACTATATCCCATTCATGATCCATGTCCTGACAAGTTGTGGCAATGCCAAAAATGACAAGTTTACCTTTTGCTTCTATCTAGTTCACTCAATTTAACACACTTGCTTATGTTATTTGTATTGTAGATACATGTTAAAAACTCTCCACTTTAATTCAACTGAAAATATTAGGAAATAATATATTTTCTAGCCTAAAACTTTTCCCAGACTTTCTCTATAGAAAAGTGGTTAGAACAAAAGCTAAGGCTTTCTTAGGGAAATGGATTAAAGGTGACAGCTAAACTTAACTCTTGTCTAGATAAAATCATTGCTTCCCCACCCGCCTGAAATGATTAGTGCCACAACCCACCTAAGGGAAGTACCTTCTCCTATTACTCAGAAGAGACTTCAATATTGTTCATATTGATGGATGTAAAAAGGTCTTTCAATCCTCAAGGGGGAAGTGGTCAAGGAAGGAAGTGATTATTCTAGAATGATCATTCAAATCTCTACTCTCACACATCATGATCATTTCCTTGTTTGAGATTCTTACATATTACCTGAAATAAATGTAAATAAGTTTTACCTTATAAATGATACCTTGGGGTAGGGAAAAATGTTGGAGGTCATGGAGGAACTCTACCAGTATAGACTCTCTCTCTCTCTCTCTCTCTCTCTCTCTCTCTCTTTCTCTCTCTCTCCTCTTCCTTTCTCCTCTCAGCTAGAAATACCTTAAATGTAAAATAGTGATATATTAAATAAAATTGTTTCTGGCAGATGTGCATAAGTGCAGAGCAAAATATTAATATTTTTTCAACAATGTATAGTCATCTAAGGCCATGAGTTGTATTACAGCTCCCTCTTCTTGGCTATTACTTCTGTGAATCACTGGGCCTTTTCTTCCTATATTACACCTGCTGCCTCTACAACATCAGGCTTAACACAAAAATATAGGTAGTTTTCCATTCATTTTTACCTGAAAATCCTTTGGATCAAATCTGCAAGTTTCCAGACAATTATTTTCTTTTCAGCCCTCATTAGATACTCCCTTTCCCATTCCTGGCCAAGTGACTATCATTTTTGTAACAGAAACCCTGGTCCAAAAATCCAAACACTTCCCTAGTTCATTGTAACACATTCTTATCACATAAGATGTCTTGTGTGGTGCCCATGCTAAGCAGACAGGATATTAAACCCAGCAGCAGTACAGCTCTACTCCTGTCATAACTCTGAAGTTAGATATGGGAAGGAAGGGTTGATGGGCAAGGATGGTATAGTTTCTTAATCCTTTTTTGTGTCACCAGCAGTCTGGTGACATCTATGCCCCCCTTCTCAGGATATCTTTAAAGGCATAAAAATATGGGAATATAAAGGAAACCAGTTCTATTGAAAAACAGTTATTAAACCATCAAAAAATACATTCCCAGTCCTCCTAAAATCTCTCTGTGGACTCCTCCATTTATCTGTGGACTTCATGTTAAGAACCCCTTGGTATACTGAATATAAATAGAGCTCAAGAAACTTGACTCCTTGCCCATTTTCTTCCCCAGCATCCAACTCATCCTTTCCTTCCATGTCTCTGACACCTCCTGCTTTGAAATGAGAGGAATCAGATTTTTCTTTCTGTGGAAATGGGAGAAAGGATAGCTTGTCTTGTGCTCACTACACAGATTGGGAACCTTATGTCTTTGTGCTGGCTGGCTCCCATGCCTGGATTGCATTCCCTCTTCACCTCTGCCTCTTGGAATCCCTCACTTTCTTCAAGATTCAGCTCAAATACCACTTTCCACATGAAACCTCTCCCAACCACCCCCCTCTCCTCCAGCTCCTAATGCTTGCTTTCTCCAAGGTACCATGGATTTTTTTTTTTGTATTCTGTGTATATCTACATAAGTACATGCTGTCTCTTCCAATAGCATGTAAACTTCTCAAGGACACGGATTGTTCTGGGAATCTTTGTATCTCCAGCACCTAGCATTGTGGCTTGTACATGAATGATAATAATAATTATAATAATAATAATAAGCATTTATGTAGAGCTTTAAGATTTGCAAAGCACTTTACAAATATTATTTTATCCTCACAAAAACTCTGGGGGCTAGAAGCTATTGTTATCCCCAATGGATAGAACACTGAGCCTTGAATCAGGAAAACCTGAGTTTAAATCCAGCCTTAGATACTTACCAGCTGTGTAACTTTGGGAAAGCCACTTAATCTCTGTTTGCCTCAATTCTCTCATTAGTACAATGAGGATAATCACAGTACCTACCTCCCAGGGTTGTTGTGAAGATAAAATGAGATAGTATTTAGAAAGCACATGCCTGGTATAGCAGACAATATACAAATATTTGCTCTATTATTATTTTATAGATGAGGAAACTGAGGTACAGATAAGTTAAGTGATTTACCCAAGGTCACACAGCTAATAAGTATCTGAGGAAGTATTTGAACTCGGGTCTTCCTGATTCCAGGACCAACATGCTATCCACTGCACCACTTAGCTACAATGCTTGTTGATTGATTGGTCTTCTATTATATTCATCCTCCCTGTATAGCCTTGGCTCCCTAAAAAATATACCTTCCTTAAGTGGGTGTTGATACTCCGACTGGGTATTCGAAAGAAAAATCGTTGTCCTGTATACAAAAGTCACATGGTTACTGAGGAGGTTTCTGGGAGGGCCTAGGTGTATCCAGGGTAGCAGGAACACCACGTTGCTAAGCCTCCAGGGTAGGACAGGGCAGAGATGCTCACCTGGGAAACCATGTGTGGCTTTGCTACAACCAAGAAGCTTTGTTCACAGAGATCCCACAAATCAACATGAAGTACAGGCAGGATTTGGGGAAGTAGGTGGTTTTATCAGTTGCCCTGAACATAGATTGTCCCAAGGTGTCCTATATAATTATTAAGCAGTGAAAACCCTTTATAAATTTTTCCAAAGCAGTGTCTGTTAAAAAAAAAGACCCTTTTAACTCACCAGAGGGCAAGAGACCAATGCCTTGTTAGCAGACAAATATCACAGGTGGGAAAAGATTATAAAACTGGGTTTCATTTGGCACATTCTGATGGCTTTTCATCTTCAAAGTACTTTATAAACATTTATCTAATAGAAAAGTTTACAATTTGGTTTTGCCTGGTTGTAATTTTTACCCACTAGATTTGTCCATTTCAAATACTTCATCATTAATATGACTTGAATTACTAATATTAATAAACAATCCAGTGATGGTTGATTAGTTATGAGTATGACATATTTAATAAGGCCATAAAATGCTCTATCTACTCTATCCACTCTATCCATTTTCCATCACTACCCTCTATGTCAAGCCTGCCTTACTTACCACCACCACTACCACTACCACTTCTCCCTCCATTAATAATTAAAGAGACCAAACACAGTTTTCTACCCTAGGGACCTAAAAGGTAGATTTTGAACAGCATACCTAACAGTAAAGGCAGCCTGGTGTGATTAAAAGAGCGATCAACACGGGGGTCAGAAAAATGTGATTTAGAATGCTGGTTCTAACATTTACGGTGTGACCTTAGGCAAGTCATGACCACTCTGTTCCTTAGTGTTTCCATCTGTAAAATAGGATTATAATGTCACCTGAACTAGTTCTCAAGATTAAGAAGAGAATGTTTTGTAAACTGTAAGGTGCTATGTAAATGTAAGACATTGTAAAGAAGATAGGTTTTGTTCACTGAGTCAAAAAATAAACCAAAGCAATCAGGTTTTGCTACCCTCCAGCTGGGTATCTTCATCCTCCTCCCACACTCTTTTCAGTTTCATGTTATGTATTGTCTTTTCTTGAGGACAGGGCCTGTCCTTCCTTCTGCTAATCCTTATATTCCCAGAGCTTTACACAATGACTGGTACATTTTTTGTCATTGTTGTTGTTCAGTCGTTTCAATCATGTCTGACTCTTTGTGACCCCATCTGGAATTTTCTTGGCAAAGATACTGTATGGTATATTTGATATGGTTTACCATATCCTCCTGCAGCTTATTCTGCAGATGAAGAAACTGAGGCAAACGGGGTTAAGTGTTTTGCTCAGAGTCACACAGCTAGGAAGTATCTGAGGTCATGAAACTCAGGAAGATGAGTCTTCCTGATTCCAAGCCTGGTGCTCTATCCACTGTGCCACCTAGCTGCCCATAGTAGGTGCTTAATAAATGATTGTTGGCTGACTAGCTGACTGCCCATGTCATCTCTTTATTCAGTAAACTCCACCGGGTCCTTATCACCTCCAAAATCAGATATAAAAACCCATGTTTGGCTTTTCAAGCTCCTCATAAGCTCCCTTTCCACTGTTCTTACACTAATTCCCCTCCACATACTCTGAAATTCAGTGGCAATGGCCTCCTTTTTGGTCCTCTCACAAGACACTGCATCTCTCCGCTCCCACCATTTTCCCCAGGTCCGGAGTGCTCTCTCTCCTCATTTCCTTCTCCTGGTTTCACTAAAGTCTCAGCTAAAATCCTGCCTTCTATGAGAAGCCTTTCCCAATCAGCCTCAGTGCTGGTGCCTTCCCTCTGGGATTATCTCCAGTTGTTTGCCAAGCATCTCCCCCACTAGAACTCAAGCTCCTTGTGGGTAGTCACTGTTTTGGCCTTTCTTTGTAACCCCAGCACCAAGCATATCGTAGTCACTTAATAAATATTTGTTGACTTGTTGCCTAGACTTTACTCCCTCAGGCATACCAATGAATCATCCAGGCTATCCATTTTTTCTCTTTCTCACTCTTATTAGGTAATTGGTTCACCTACTTTTCTATAATTTTGACCTCAATAATGCAGTTCATATCACTCCTTTCTTTTACCTCACAAATGGCTTAAAAGGAAGGGTGGTCTAAATTCTACTTTTTAAAAGTTTCCCCTTTTTCCACCTCTCCCTCTTCTAGAAATTCTGCCTGGGTTTTCTTCAGTTGTTGATAGAGTTGGGGTGGTGGCAGTGGTGATGGTGGTGGTTGTGGTTAGGAAATAACAACTATATAACTGTATTTTTAAAAAAAGACTGAATACCTATTTATTATCTACAGAGATTTTCTGAGAAATTACAGGTAGAAATCAGGTCTGAAAGGTGTCAAGTAGCCCTTTCCCATGATACCATGGGTCCAAGGCCAAAGAAACTAAACAGTTTTAAGGGGAGCTGAGTGACTTTACCCATGATGACAATGGTCTGATGCACATGAGCAGATAGGGGGAAAAAGGGCTTCTTTTTCAGCAGCAGAAGCTGGTATCTGTAAGGGCAGGAGCAGTAATAGTGCTGAAGAGGTACTAGACCAAGTCAGGAACTTCGGGACCAAGAACAGCTATGGTACTGTGCTCAAGTTGTTGGGTGCTGGAATAGAGGCAGCCAACAGTTGAGCAGTGAAGCAAGTTGATTCAAGATGGAGAAAGGGGACAAACATTTATTAAGTATCTACAATGTGCCAGATTGTGTGCTAAGGCAACAACCCTGGTAGGGAAGTGCTATTATCCTTATTTTACAGCTGAGGAAACTGAGGCAGACAGCGGTTAAGTGATTTACGTAGGATCACACAGCTAGTAAGTGTCTGAAACCACATTTGAACTCAATTCTTCCTGGCTCCAAGCCTAGCACTCTATCCACTGTGCCATCTAGCTGCCTCTAGGTGGTGCAGTAGACAGCTGGTGAGCAGCAAGAGCACAGACTTCGGAGAGAAGGGCAGCTGGCATTGGACCAGACTCAGCACCGTGGATGAGGCAGTGACTCCTGTGACTGAACCCCTGAGAGTGAGCAAAGAATGAAAGAATGAAAATCTTCAGAAGGTGTGCTATACTGGAAAGACTTAAATGAACTGATGCAAAGTGAAGTGAGCAGAACCAGGAAAGGAATGTACACAGTATTAGCAATATTGTATGATGATCATCTGTGAATGACTTAGCTATTCTCAGCAATACAAAGATCAAAGACAATTCTAAAGGACTCATGATGAAAAATGCTATCTACCCCCAGAGAAAGAACTGATGGAGTCTGAATGGAGATCAAAGCATACTATTTTTCATTTTCTTTATTTTTCATGTTTTTATGGTCTGTATTCTCTTTCACAACATGACTAATATGGAAATATGTTTTGCATGATTGCACATGCATAACCTATATCAAATTGCTTGCCATCTGGGGGGGGAGGGGAAGGAAGGAGGGAGGGAGGGAGGGAGAGAATTTGGAACTCTAAATTTAAAAAAATGCTAAAAATTATTTTTATGTGTAATTGGGAAAAAATAAAAAATTTCAAAGGTGTGCTATAACTGTTGCTAACTGGACAGGAATGTGACTCCCATTTCTGATATTTACATACTTTTTAATAAACCTGTTTTGTGTTGAAATGCCAATTAATAGCCTGATACTTGTAGAAGAACAGAAGACTTTCTAGTTTTGAGTCAAATTCATATGTTCCCAACACCTGAGCCTTGGGTTAGGGTGAGATATTATTAAGATCTGTTCAAGAATGACTCCAGGGGAAGGAAGGAAGGAAGGAAGGAAGGAAGGAAGGAAGGAAGGAAGGAAGAAAGGAAGGAAAGAAGGAAGGAAGGAAGGAAAGAAGGAAGAGATGCCATACAGGGTGTCTCAAAAGCCTACCTTAAAACTGTTGTAATATTTCTGGGACACCTTGTACATATCAAAATATTTATAGCAGGCTTTTCAAAGAAACAAAATGGACATCCATCAATTGAGGAATGACTGAACAAAGTGTGGTATATGAAAATGATTAAATACTATTGCATCACCAGCTGCACCACCAGGAAATAACAAATAAGAAAGTTAGAAAAACTTCGGAAGCCTGAATGGAAGCAAAACGCACAGTAGGCAAAAATTATAACAGTAGGTACAATGACTACAGCTATATAAATAAAATAAAACTAAAAGGCAGCCAAATTCAAATTAATTACAGTGGTTACACTTGCTCCTACAATACAATAAACATTAATTAAGTACCTACTGTGTGGTAAGTGTTATGCTAAGCAGTAGGGAGACAAATAAGAAAAAGAAACTCTCTGCCCTCAAAGAGCTCACAATCTAATGGGGGAAGACCACACATAAAAAGAAGCTGAAAAGGAGGAGGTAGGGGAGAAGGTTCCCAGACTGGGGGCATGGTGATGATGGACTTCATGGAGTGCAGCTAGTGGGAAATGAAGACTTGGCTGGGCTTCTCAGCCCTCTTTATATAGAAGCCTCCAATTAAAGGGGCAGAGGCTACTGAGGGTCCTGATGAGATGTGAGCACTGAAGCTGACGCAATCTCAGTGTTGATGTTTCCTGTAATGATGAGTTTCCTTTTGGGCGTGGTGTCGGCAGGGTGGAAGTACATGATGATGGAGCTGAATCCAAGGAGTGCAGCTGGGGAAATGAAGGTGAGAGAACAGGTGAGGAAATACTTTCTTCCTTGGTGGAGAAGTAAGGAACTATGAACACTGAATGTCTGATAATCATTTTGTCCATCACTTTTGCTTAAGTGCTATTCTTTGCTGGGAAAGGGGAGAAGAACTATATATCAGGAAATAATGATTGTGTCCTAAAAAACAAAAGATGTCAATAAAACAAAAACAACCAGAAAAATGAACATGGTCTCTATGACTGTAGAGCTGCCGTTCTGGGCTGTAAGCTTTGCATACATGCACCAGTGTCTCACCAGTTTATTCTGAGAACGCTTCCTAGCTAGGTGACCCTGGGCAAGTCAGTTGATCTCTGTTTGCCTCAGTTTCTTCATCTATAACATGGAATAATAGCACCTACCTCACAGGGTTGTTGTGGGGATCAAATGAGATAGTACTTGTAAAGCACTTAGCACAGTGCCTGGCACTTAGTGCTATATATATGCTGGCTATTATTATTATTGTTATCATCATTATTATTATGAGACAGGGAAGTGACTGAGGTGGAATTTAGCCAAACTAGGAATCAGTGGACCTGGGTTCAGTTCTCAGATCTTCCCCAGGCTTACTCTGTAACTTTAAGCAAGTCACCTAATTGCTCTGTGCCTCAGTTTTCCCACCTGTAAAACCAGGATAATAATACTCACCTCACAGGTTAAAAAAAAAAAAGTAATTAGACAAAAGCTTTGAGGTCCTTTCAGAAGGTGCAACTTCAAGGTCTCATTATTACCATTAAGAAGATGGCAGCCTTTTCCTAAGGCTGGGAAGCCTGTTTCCAGTGGCAGAATTGGTGAGTTAGTGAGGAAGATGACCATGTGTGCAATTTAAAAAGCCAAGAGATCCGAGAAGCCGTACCAATAAAATGTGATTGATTGCTCAATGAGAGATGTACCCGCCCTACACATGGGGCATAAATACCCTGGCGCCTACATATGCCTCCCTCCTATTGCTAGGAATTCAAACATGGAAACCAGTCAGGTCAGTGACACAGCTACTCATTTGTGATTCTGATTTCAGAACTCACAGATGACTGTTGCTGGCCCTTCCAGGCTCCAGATGCAGCAGTAATAAGCAGCCATTATTGGAGTCCTACCCTCCCTCTATCTCCTCTTGTTAACCCCACCCCCATATACGTTCTAGGTCCCTGGCACCCCTATTGCCTCATGAATCTCAGGGCAGTGTCAGTGAGGTAACAACTTCATTGGTCCGACAAGTCTCGAAGGCAGTGGCCAGAATCAATATAGTCATTCTGTTCAAGGAAGGCAGGCGGCAGAGGCTGTCAGAAACATTTTTTGCCAGCTGACTAATTACTGTGTGACAGGATGAACACCTCTGCTCACACCCGCTGTAATGTCTCTGAGCCACATCCTTAGGGCTCTAAGAGGGAGGGAGTAAGGGGAATTGCAGCCTTGCTCTTGGACACAGCTGTTTATACTTACTCACAGCCTTCCTGCCTGCAAACCCAGGGAATTTCCAGGCCCAAAGCTAAGAGGTAACCAAGTTCTGGGGCCGTACCCAATCAGATTACTGGAAGGAGGCTCATGGGCCAGTGGAAAGGAAAGCTAAGGGACAAGGCCAAGGACCTGAGGGTGCTGGCAGGAAGTCAGACCCTGCAATCCAAATGGGACTGAGATTGAAAAGGTCACTGGAGACAATCTGATATACTTGGTTATTGAAGGGGGCTTGGATTTCAGTGGCTGCTGGATTTATAGCTTTCCCGCCTACCCACAACCAATGCTCTTGAGCAGTAATGGCAACTGAGAACAATGCTTTTTTGTCCTGAATTAGATAGTGTTCTATAAAACTATACAATAAAGGCTGTTTATTAGTACTGCATCTGGAGGAGGCTGTTGTATTTTTCTATTGATATATATGTATGTATGTGTATCTATGTGTATATGTGTATGTGTGTGTGTGTGTGTGTTCCTGACCATCCTACCCCCTTGGACTTAGAGACTTGGGGCTCCTTGGCCAGAGTGGATCTCACTTTCACCCTTTCTCAATACCTGTGCTCCGACTGGCCTGGCCAGTAACTGAAACAGATCCTGTTTTGTCCTTAAAGGGCAATTTACCATCTATTGCCTTTGGGCAAGTTATTTCACCTCCCTGTAAAATTTGGGGTTTTGATGCCTTCCTCCTATTTTGTGACTGGCTTAGAAATATCACCTCCCTGATATTGATTTATTCAGGACAGTGATTCTGGTCTGAGGTACACCTCTCATTAATCTTGGGCAATCAGCTTAACTTATCTGAGCATCTGTTTCCTCTTCTGTAAAATGGGTATGATAATAGCTTCTCCATCTACCTCACAGGGCTGATTTGACACTCAAATGAGATGATGTATGTCAAAGATATCAAACTCAAGGACCAAAGACCCTGCTAAATGTAATAAGATAAATAAAAACACAATACCACATAAATAATATTAATTTATGGTTTTCTTTCAGTTTAACAATACTGATATATATGATAGCACAAGATAATGGCAAAGTATAAATTAAGTGTAAGGGATTATAATTATTAAAGAGATTTATTTGTAAGTCTAGATTTGGTTTTACTTTTCTCATTGCTGAGCTTTTCCTAACTCTGTGTCTTCTACTCTCCTCTCATTCCCATAGAATTTTCCACTCCCTCTTAGTTCAAATGCAGACTAGAAATGCTACTTCTCTGTTCTTCCACTCCAACTGGCATTGCCCTGAGATTCATGAGGCGACAGGGATGCCAGGGACCACGTGTGTGTAGGGCGGGGTGTAGGGATGGGGGTAGGGAGAGGTGATGGGGAAGGCGAGACTCCAAGAAAGGCTGTTTATTACTGCTGCATCTCCAGGGCAACTGTTGTAATTTCCTCTTGATATAGGTAGATCAATGACAGATAGATTGATGATAGATAGATAGATAGATATACACACATATACATATAAATATATATATATCTAGATCTAGATCTACATCTATCTACAGTTATGCCTTCTGCATCACAGGCGTGAGGGGCTCTGCGCCCCCACACTATGGAAAATCTGTAAAATTTTTTGGCTCTCCCTTCATACCAGAGAAGGTCTGAATTTTTTCTTTTTCTTTTACGGAGTGTTTATAGTACCTTATTGTAAAATTTGGGTTAAGTATTTGGTCATAGGCTCTGTATCATCTGCCAGCCTTCTTGTGTCATCTGCAGCTTCTGCAAAACTCCACAAAAATTCCCATTTAGTTCCTTATGCCAGCCCATAATATATTGAAAACAAGATAAGGAAAGTAGTGATGTAGAAAGGATAACATTTAAATCTACCTATATCTACGTCTATCACCTCTCTGACCATCCTACCACCTTGGACTTAGAGATTTGGGTCTCCTTAGCCAAAGTGGACTTCCTTTTCAATCTTCCTCAAGACCTGTGCTTTGTTGGGCTGTGCTAGGAGTGAAATTAGAACTCCACTAAATGGCATCAGGCCCATATGGGACAGATGTTCATGGAATTAGAATGAATGGGAGGCAAGTGTGGTTAAGCACCAGCTCTCAAATTAGAGGACCTGGGTTTCAATCCTGTCTCTGATATTTATTACTTTTATGATTTTGGAAAAGTCACAACTTCCGGGGGCCTCATGTTTCTTATAAAAATGAAGGGATCAAATCTCTGATGTCCCTTTCAGCCCTAGCTCAGTGATCTTACAAATGAAATCATCTTCCCTTTCTAGGGTCATAGGACTCCAGACCTGGAAGAGATCTTAGAGATCGCCCATTAACCAACTTTATCATTTGAGAAATGAGCAAACTTATATATCTTCAAGGAAGGATAAGAGAGAAAACATGTCTAGTTTCCCAAAGCTACTTAGTTCCCTGAAGATTTCTAGCCCTCCATCTCTGGTCTTAGCATTATACTCCCTGAGTATCTAAGTTAAGAACTTAAAAATTGCTCCTGAAAACTCTTCACCAACACATCTTGCTGGCTGGTGCAGAGAGCAAGACGACTTCTCTTCAACAAGCATTGATTAAGCAACTGCCATGTGCCTAGCGCATTCTGTGACTGTACGTACACAAAAGAAATCTACATCTATATAAATGGGAATACTATATGCTAGTGCTTTAGGACCCATGGAAGGGATGAAAGGCAATGAAGTAAATTGGAAGAAGTGCTGAATTTGGAGTCAAGTTAGACTTAACGTTGGAAGTGACCTTAGGGACATTTAGTCTGTGAGGTCCAGAGAGAGTGACTTGACAAAGGTCATACATACCAGTAGGAAGCAGAGCCAGGTGGTTAAGCCCAGACCCTCCGAGTCTAAACCCAGTGTTCCTTCCACTGAACTACACTTCCTACCCGGTAGAAAACCTGGATTTAAATCCTGGCCATCTTCTTTACTACTTGGATAACAATGGACGAATCGTTTCCCCTCTTCAGATCTCAGTTTCCTCATCTATAAAATGAAGAGGATGTACTAGATGGTCACTAAAAATCCTGTTTCTAAATCTATGGGGAAGACACTAAACCTCTCTCCACTTAATTTTCCTTATCTTTAAAACAGTAGCAAGGTAGTACAGTGGATAGAGTGCTTAGGACTGGAGTTAGGAAGACCTGAGTTCAAATGCAGCCTCAGACACTTACTAGCTGTGTGACCCTTGGGCAAATTGTTTAACCCTGTTTGCCTCAGTTTCCTCATCTGTAAAATGAGCTGAAGAAGGAAAGGACAAACCAAATCAGTATTTTTTGCCACAAAAACCCCAAATGGAGTCACACCTGAAATGACAGCAGCAGCAGCCAACAACAACAACAAAAACTACAACAGCACCAAACTAACAAGGTTGTTGTGGAGATCAAATGAGATAATGCACGTAAAGTACTTTGCAAACCTTAAAACACTATATCAACGTCAGTTATAAATATTAGGTAGTCGTTGTAGTGGCATTAACCATCCCAATGCTATTCCTAAAATGTGGAACTTCAAATTAAACGCCATTTCCCAGCTGTAGTCTGGTCAGAGGGACTATCAGATCCAATGCTGGGCACACTAAACTTTTTTTAATGTAGCCTAAGTTTGCATATTTTCTTTGGTTCTCTCACTGTACTGTTGGCTCATATTGAGTTCGTAGTCCACAAAACCCTACGTTGTTGTTATGAACTGCTGTCTAGCTACTTCCCTCATTATTATACCTGTGAAGTTATTCTTTGAGTCCATATAGGAGTTAACATTTGTTGTTACTAAATTTCATCTTTTTAAATGTGGCCCATTATTGTAACCTGTCAAGGTCTTGTTTGGAATCAAGGTCGGTCATCCAACAGAGTAGGTCTCCCTCAAAGCTTTGTGTCATCAGCAGACTTGAGATACATGCCATCCACTGAGGTCTTTACACACGTCATTGATAAAGAATGTCAATTGACAGTGCCAAACACAGATCTCTTGGGCACTCTGATGGAGGATTCTTTCCTAGGTGACATTGAATCATTAAAGTCTTCTCTTTGAGTTCAGCCATTCAACCAATTCCAAATCCTCCTAACTGCACTATTTTCTATCTAAGTCTAGGTAAACCACATCTGAAAAGTCCTTTCTAGTACTGTTTGTCTTGAGAGACATTCATCCTGGAATATTCCCGGGGGCAAGCAATGACATGTTCTTGCTTGCAGTCCTAACAGTCTCTCCAAATGGGTCAGGCAGAAATAAGTCTCAGAATTATAGAAACAGAATCTCAGGGAATAAGCAGCTATCTGGTACAACCCAGGCCTGAAAAGGAATTCCCGTTAAAATATACCTAATAAGTGATCATCCAGACTCTGTTTGGACACCTCCAATGAAGGGGAACCTCCTGCAGAAACATCAAAATATAGAATGTTAGCAAAAAGGAATTATGATGTATAACATACTTTACATGAGGAAACTTCTTTACAAGAATTAAGAAAAATATAGTGTTACCTGGATGCCTCCTAGAATGCAAATGAAATAGTATGTTTCAATACTTCTGAGAGCTGTGAATTTACCAGCATGGGTGCTCAGATGAGGATTGGAATCCCTTTACACAGTAGTTGTAGTAGTAGTAAGTAGAAGTAGTGGTAATAATAATAGCTAACACTTATATAATGCTACAAGGTTTGCAA